CCATTTCTGCCTCTTCCTCAAAGCTTTCCTTGACCTCTTCAACACAGAATGTTTCCTTCCTCCTTTGAGCAGGAAGTCCTTGTTATCTGTAGTACACGGGCACTTACCATATACGGTCCAGTGCCTTCATGAGTAGTGTTGGTGTGTAAGCTATCTGGCTGTTCATGTGAGTACATCCTGCTCCCCAAGTAGATTTTGTAGAAATTTTGTAGATTTTGTCCTTTTTGTAGAACAAGTCCTATAGTTTTGTGCTATACAACTCACAGTAGAAATTCAACTAAACTGATTGTTCTCCTGCATCTAAGGGGTAGACTTAAATATATGTAGAAGGATTAAGACCTGGGTGTGTGCCTAAGAATGAGAAGTAATGCTTAGCTTTGTTGATATTTCCCTATTGCCTGGAAAAAAGAGGGTATATTCTATGTATGATGTTTCATATTCAGGACGTGAAGGACACTTTCCTAATATGCCATGTAGGCACTGTCACCCTCTATCCCCAACGAAAACTTTTTTCACCTTTTCTCTCTCCTTATCTCTTCTATTTACAGACTGACTATTGGCTTTTTTGTTAAACTACAAACATGTCTGATGAATAAATTGTATTTTAGTTTCCTGGGGCAACAATTAGTAGTCTTTTCTGCACAGGTATAGTGACTTCCTTGGGAGGTGTCTTTCTTGTGACTAACCTTCCCCTGGGGGCTGAACTGAAGTCAGCAAAGTGTTAAAGACATGTATTCTCAGAGTAATGTTTTGTATGGTGGGACTCCCTTGGATTAAAATAACAGCAAGCCAACCAAAAAGGAGACTGTTTCATGGAACCTAAAGATGAGAAACTAGCTGGCCTTCAGATACCATGTGGAAATATGTCTCTTACTCTTAGTTAATTCTACAGGTCTGCTTTATGCCTCTTTCCTGGTGCCCACTAGCTTCTGCTTTTTCTATCCATATGGTGAAGCATGGAGCTAACAGCTTCTGAGTTTGAAATCTTAGAGTCTAAGTTATAGAAAAAAAAAAGCCTCCCTTGATTCATGTCCTAGTACCTGAAGAAGGACTTCATTTACCATCCTGGGCCAAAGATCCATCTCAACCAATAAAATATGGTCAGACATGATAGATAGCTATTTTGCTCTATTGTATTTCTGGGGTAATCATTTGGATGGAGGGTGGTAGGAACAGCCTAGCGCCTGAAGGAGATATGCTGGACAGATAAAAGAGTAGAGGTGTGCTACACTGGACATGTGCATAGAGGTGAAGAGTTTACAAGCCCCTTCCCACATGTTACATCATGAGAGCCTCATGACAGAAGAGTAGCTCAGGCAAGACAGCCACTATCGGTACCCAACGGACACATTCACATTTTACAGTCTAAGGGCATTAATATGCTTTTAGAAACTAAGCGACTAATGCAAGATTCACAAATAAGTAGTAAATTCTCTTTCATTGTTCAACAAACTTACCTTTCAAAATGTTCCTGAAACCCCACCACCTTCTCAAAGGTAATGAATAGGAGAGTAATACTAACTTAGTTTGTCTTCTCTAGAAAAAAGAGCAGTTCCAGAGGAGTGTAATTTCAGGGAAGCAGGAATGAGGGAAAAGAAAAGTGAGAGAAAGAAACAAAACATAAGGGAGTGAGTTACTGAGCTGGTCCCAACCTTGGAATAAGCTGATTGTTTTGTATCACAGGATATTTTCAGGGAGGCTGTGTGAAGCTACCGTGTGTGTCCCATGGGCAGGGGAGGGAAAGGAATAAAAGTTTATCCACTAGATTCTATTGCTTTTGGTCAAAGTTCAGGCTCCAGGGCATTAACTTACCAACACTTCCTGTTGTATATGCTTGGGGACATAGCAGAACCTGCTGGACAGCAGAGAAGTCCTAGGGTAGAAGGAAAGATACTATTAGGTCATATATGAGAGTGACATGAAGGGCCAGAGGCAACCATGGAGGGAGTCTCTCTGGCTCAGCAGATCAGGCCTCACCATGAGCTGATCTTCTGCCACAAAGGTGACAATTGACCTTAGCAGCCTCCTCTCTGTGGCCTACAAGAAAGCAGTTGATGCCAAGGCGTCATCCTGGGGGACCATCAGTAACACTGAGCAGCTAACTGCCTGGTCTCAAGTGGGAATGGTGATACCTACTCCTTGATGAAGACTCATTTCAAGGACACCTCTCCTACAGTACTCGAGGTTTGATCAATCCCATCTTTAAGTCCACACTATTCTTCACATGAGTATACACATATTTAATAAAATTATTTATTCAGATTTTTTCTTCTCCTAGAAAGGATTTTTATGAGATTGAGTAATGTTGCTTCATTAATTCAAATTTACCGAGTACCTACTATGTGCTAGGCACTATTTTAAGGACTAGGGATAGACTAGTGATAGGCACATGGGCACCTGGGTGGCTCAGTTGGTTAAGTGGTTAAATGTCTGCCTTCAGCCCAGGTCATGATCCTAGGGTCCTGGAATGGAGCCCCACGTTGGGCTCCCTGCTCCATGGGGGGCCTTCTTCTCCCTCTTCCTCCGCCTGCTGCTCCCCCAGCTTGTGCTCTGTCAAATAAATATTTTTTTAAAAAAAAGAATAGTGATAGGCACAAATCTTTTACTTTTTGAAGCTTACATTTTAGTGTGTATGTGTATGTGAGACTAATAAAGAAATAAGTAAAATATACATTGTGTTAGGTAGTGATAAATACTCTGGGTGAAAACAAAGCAGGAAAGTTAGATAGGAAGTGTGGAGGTGGGGAGTGAGGGTTGTGCGCTAACCAGGGTGGCCAGGGAAGGCTTCATGGAGTAAGTAACATAGCAAAGAGTAGGTATGGATATCTGGGGGTGGGGGGCTGAGTTGCAGAGATGGAGAAAATCAAGTGCACAGGTGTTAAGGCATGCTGGATGTTTTCCAAGAAGGCCAGAGAGGCCAGGGTGACCAGAGCAGAGTAAGGGAGAGGCAAATGAAAGAGAAGAGAGTAGATGAGGTCAGAGAATTAATATGGAGCCAAATTATCTTGGGACATTGAAATATCTTTAGCTTTCACTTAGGGAGGGATGGGGAAGCACAGGGAAGCTTTAAGCACAGAAGTGAGTGGACTTCCATTTCAACAGGATCACTCGGGCTAAGAGTAGATTTTAAAGGGATAAGAGCTGAAACTGGGAGTTAGGAGGCACTGGTATAACTCAGGTGAGCAGTGTTGATTGTTTGGACCAAGATGGCAGCAGAAGAGGTGATGAGAGATGGTGTGATTCTAGTTTAAAGATGGAGCTGATAGGATTTATTATGGATAAGGAAGGACATCTGAGGAGATTAGAAATCAATCATAAGGAAGATGATTCCAGGGTTTTGGCCTGAGCCAAGATGACAGGAGAAAACAATTTTAGAGGGAAGATTAGTAGTTTGGACAGGAAATGGCTCTTAGACATCCAAGTGGAGTTGCTGAATTGATAGTGGATTTAGGAGACTGAAGTTTAAGGAGGAGTTCATGGTTAGAGAATCAGTATGACATTGAAGGCCGTGGGACTGGATAAGATCACCAAGTGAATATATGTAGATGGAAAATTGAAGGGGACAAAAGGCCAACTCCGAGGTCACTCCATTCTAAGGGGTTAGGAAGGTGAAGAGGACCAAAAAGCATACTCAGCATACCTGGCCATGAAGTAGGAGGAAAACCAGAAGAATGTGGTTTCCGGAAGCCGAGACAAGGAGGTATTTCAAGAGGCAGGGACTGAACAACTTGGCCAAATGTTGCTGATAGCAGTGTTGAGAACTGACCTTTGGTCAGCAGCATGGACATCACTGGTGAGCTTGAGCAGTTCAGTGCAGTAGAGAGGGTCAAATGCTCAGATGGAAGTTCAAAAGAGAATGGAGGAGAGAGAAACTGTATGGAATAAATACAGGCAATTCTTTAGAGTTTTGCTTTAAAGGGAAGGGGTGAAAAGAGGGTGGTGGTTGGTGGGGCAGGGAGAATAAAGAAGTGTGTGTTAAGGGCCTATTTCTATGCCTCTCAGAAGTGTCCACTACAACGTACTGGCAGAGCCAGGCAGAAAAATGAACAAAATACCCCTAGGACCAGGTCTGCACGGGCTACTGAACTGACTGACCCACATGGTTCACTGTATCAATGAGGAAATGTACTGTGGGAGTGAAGGTGCCTGGGCTAGGCCTTATAGACCTAACACCTTAAAGGTTTAAGTTCAAAAAGTAGAAATAATAAACCTGTCAGATAGCAGAGTGGAGGTTCTCTACTGATCCATGTGAAGCCAAAATGTGGTCCGATGGCATTTTCTTAGAGGTTCCTTTAGAGTATCATTATCATCATCCTCACTATCATTAACAAATAGCACCGAAGTGCCTAATTTCGCCTACCACCTCATAAATTAAAATAGAGGGCCTTGTTCCCTGGGGGGAACTGGTGTGGTGATGAGCAGTAGTAAAAGAGGCCAGAAGGTCAGGGATGGGGAAAAGGCAGGGATCGGGTGAGGCAGGCTCTTGCCAAACCATCCCGCCCCAGTTCCTGATTTCCACCCTGCCTCTCCAAGCGCGGGAGTGCATGGCTCTTTCTCTGCGACTTCTTCCTCCTTTGCTCCTTGAGCCCCCCTACTTCTTCTTTTGCTGTTCTCTCTCAAAGCAGGGGTGGTTTTGAAGATCCGCTCCGACCCGTACCTGCCTCCCCACCGCCTGTAGGCGCGCGGGAAGCGGGCTGAGACCCCTGAAACTCCAGTGAGGGCAGGAACCGGCATTCTGAGCATGTGCGAGCAAGCCGGGAGGCTAGGGCGGATTTGGGGGGCCTGGCCCAGGTCGCCGTCCTGCGCGGGGAGCTAGAGCGCGGGGAGCGCAGGACCTGCCTGCACTCCCGGGAGCCGAGCTCCTGCGCCTAGGGCGCAGCGGCTGCGCCCTACCCTCCGGGCGTGGGCGAGCTGGCCGCGTGTGCCTCTCTGCTTGACGCGTGGGTGAGCCAATCAGGACGAGCGGCCCAGGCTGCCATGTGACGGGCGAGGCGGCTCCTTTCCCCAGCGCGGCCAGAGGGAGGAGAGAACCGGGGCTCGCCGCGAGCCTTCGAGAGCGGCAGTCGCGGAGGCGGCGACGGCGGCGGCACAGGCTCGGGCAAGCCGCGCGCGCATCCTCCGGCGCCCTGCGCGGCGGAAAGCTCGGCGGGCCGCGGGAGCCCACGATTGGAGTGGACAAAGCAAGATGGCAGGGATCTTAGCCTGGTTCTGGAACGAGAGATTTTGGCTCCCACACAATGTCACCTGGGCGGACCTGAAGAACACGGAGGAAGCCACCTTCCCGCAGGCTGAGGACCTCTATCTCGCCTTCCCCCTGGCCTTCTGCATCTTCATGGTGCGGCTCATCTTCGAGAGGTAAGAAGGGCTGGAGCGCTCCTCCCCTCCCCCTACACACACACACACACACACACTCTCTCTCTCTCTGTCTCTCACACACACACACACACGCACACGAACCCGCGCGCGCACATTCGCGCGCACACGCACACTCGCGTGCTCTCTGGCGCACGCACCCGCGTCCCCAACGCTCGCGCTCGCTTCTCCCAACCTTTGTGTTCGGGCAGGGGTTGCTGACCCCTCAGCGAGGCTGCCGATCGGGGAGCCTGGGAGGATCTGGCTAGCCTACGGATTTCCTCCCGGGCGCCTGGGAGGGGCCGCGGAGCGTGGGGGTCGCCCCCCGCTCTCCTCCTTGGCCGGCTCCCCCCCTGCCGCGAGCGCCGGCGAACAAAGGTGAGCGCCGGCCGGCCTCGGGACGCGGCGCACTCCGCGGGACTGGCCCTTCTCCGGCCCGCGGGCTGCCGCGCTGCCGGGCAGGGCTTCCCCGCCGAGGCTCGTCGCCACCCACCTGACAGCCTGGAACGTTGCGGACGCGCCGCCGGGAGGGCGGAGGGACGGTGCGCACTTCCAGTCCTTTCACTGCCGCACGCGGATTGTAGAGACCCGGCTGCAGAAGAATTCGCCAGGGACTCCTCGGCTTCTGGCCGCTGTTTAGTTTCTGTCAGTGACACTGAGCATCAGGCTCACGGTCCGGGGAGATAGAGGACAATAGTTTTTAGGCTTCCAGCACTCCAGGTCATTAGCGGTTTTCTTAAAAGAGGATATGGCAGGACGGGTGCACAGCCTGCAACATGGTGATATTAAATAGATAGATGTTTCCTATGAATAACCATAAACTTTTGTGCCAGAGACACTTAAAGCATTTTAAAGAACTGTTATTTATTGTTTGTTTAATTTCCGGATTTGGTTAGTAGCTCCATTGTGTCATGAACAAACTTGTGTTACTCTTACTGAATCGGTCTTAGTCACAAAACTCGATTTTGCGTGCTGTGCACTCCCAGGGAGCTATTGAAACAAAACCAGGACAGCAGCCCGTAATTCTTTTCCTCAACTGAAAACCTCGCCCCCCCTTCCTCTCCTCTCCCAGCCCCCCATTCATCAGTAAAGGCTGAATTTCTTAGATCACAGAGTTTAGACTCTATTTCTCACGTCCACTCCACCTCTCTTCCCCTGCCCCCAGCTCACCCCTGGTTTTGTTTCTTAAGCTTTTGCTGTTATTTTGTTTGCTGTTTCTGTTTGTCTAAAACCGCTATTGAGGATGGCAGAATTTGCCTTTTGTGTCATTTGTTTCTGGAAATGGCAACAGAAAAAGCTTCGTGGGAACAAAAAGTGTCTTTTGTTTAAGGAAGCTGTATTTTTCAACGGGCAATACTGACGCTTCTGAGCGAAGTCAGCTGTTCACATGCAGAGATTGAAATGCACAAAGGAACAGATTTAAAGACCTATTTTAAAATAATTGAAATCCAGCGCAGGTGCCTCATTGATCCTATCTAGCAGTGAGACTTACTGTGAAAAAGTGGGTGTGTTTGCAGGTTAGAGTTGCTTCTAGAGCAAACGTTTACTTACAGAAAATAGGAACTCTTATCTAACTTTGCAGTCTCTCCAAAAACAGCCTCTCAGGAACAGCAGGTTGTTCCGTGTTGATCCTTAGTAGGAGCTCCACACACAGTTGCCTTAGGACATCTGATCAATTCTGCCTGGGCTCACTTGTAATCAGCAAATGTATTTGAAAGAGGTGTGTAGTCTTGTTTTAGATAACAAAAGCTAATGACCTATATGCAGAAAGCTGATTCCAGGCTATTCATTAGGTTGAAAAAAAGTAAATTTAGCTTTGTACTTAGACTTTCTCTGCCATAAAAAAAACTTAAAAACGGATGTAATTTAAGTTGAAAACTGGAAGTTTGTTATTCCTCTTCCTGAACATTTTTTTCTTCCTTTGCGCAATCCCATGACTTAGAGTTTATACAAAAGGGTCAGCTGCTTTCAACTCTCAGTCACAGCAAATGTCCTCCTATTGCTAGGTAGAGAGTTTTCCAGTTTCTTTCAGGCCATTGATTCAAGTAGAAGTGAATTTAATGGCCTGTATGGAAACTGAAAGTTTGTGATTAATGTTCAGCATAGTAATCCAGTATGGCCCATATACCACACAATGCTAATGACTTTTGGAAGGGTGTCTACTTTGTTTCTTTTTCTTCTTATACTAGTGACAACTCTGTCTTTAACCATTCAGACTCTCGAGTCTCTGAAAATCCAGTGTATAGTTGTATCCAGAATTACAAGTTCTGCATGTTTCTCCTCTTCTCACACCTAAATAACACATTCTGGCATCCAACCTGTGGCCTTCATCTCAGCATCCATCAAGGGCCTGAACTTGAATCAGCTGATATTGTTATCATTGATACGACTCACTTTTAGTACCCTTCTAACATGTGCTTAAATCTTTCTTTTGCAGTATTCTGTAATGTATAGCATGACTTAAAGAAGCTGTTATGAGTCTCTTTGTAAAACGAAATGCTTTTACAATAGAAATAATTCCCTCCAGATTCTGTCCCTTTTTTAAAAATTTATGTTTCATTTTTGGGGTGCCTAGCTGGTTCAGTTGGAGGAGCATGCAACTCTTGATCTTGGGGTCGTGAGTTTGAGCCCCACTTTGGGTGTAGAGATTACTTAAATATTTAAAAAATGATTTTTTTTTAATTTTCGAGGATTCTATCCTTTTTATGCTTCTGTTGTCATTTATTTCAAAGTTGAGAACATATCTATGAAATATCTCGTTATCCAAGATCTTTATTTCCGTTAAATGGGGTCTGTAATGCCCTTGTTGAGGCCCAAATTGTGAATTTGAATACCTTCTCCTTAGTCTTACGTTTTTCTCTTTTAAAGAGAAACACTAAAGAATGGACTGGATTGAGCTCTGCTCGTTTGAACAGGCTTATTTTTTGTTTGCACTCCACTGTTGGGGTGTTGACAGTGGAGGCATTGGTGGCCAGAATGATGCTGTGTTATATACCATATGGGCAACAATATGGATGCCCAGCATGGTTGGTTAAAAATGGAGCAGCCTAAATTCAGTGATTTTTGGCTGAGTCTCTGAATAGCCCCTAAGCTTGGTGTTTTTTAGCATAGCCTTTATACTGCACTTAACTCTGGGTAGAACAGGAAGGGCCACTATAGATATTACTTGATTGACAAAGTAAAATATCTCTTGTTAAAAACAAAACAAAACTTCATGATTTCTCCTAGAATGAAAATTTTAGTGTATACCATTATGTAGTTAGCTTGATGACAAGGAACAAAATATTATTTATTTATTTTACATTTTTAAAGAATTTCAATTTCAGTATAGTTAACATACAGTGTTATAGTAGTTTCAGATGTACAATATAGTATTCAACAATTCTATGCATTACTCAGTGCTCATCATGATCAAAATATTTAATAATGTATTATCATCTATTTGATGATTTTTTAAATTTAATACTTAAGGCTTAATAAGCCATTCTATGGAATTATAATAAATGGCTTTTTCCAAATTCACTTTTTAGAATGTATTGCTGTAGGGGTGCCTGGGTGGCTCAGTGGGTTAAGCATCTGACTTCATCTCAGGTCATGATCTCAGGGTCCTGGGATTTAAGCCCTGAGTGGCTCTCCATCTGTGCTCAGCAGGGAGTCTGCTTCTCCCTCTCCTTTTGCCCCTCCCTCCTGCTCCTGTGCTTTCTCTCTCTCTCTCTCTCAAATAAAATCTTTTAAAAAATGTGTTGCTGTAGTATTCATAAATGTGGGATTAAAGTTCTGCTGAATTTCTTTTGGGGAACAAAAATTCCTTGAGTTGTTGTAACAGGTAATGTTAGTACACTTTCTTCCATGTGGGTTTAGGAGAGAGATGCAGGAAGTATGGATTAGGAGTCAGAACGTTCAAATTCTAGTCAAACTTACCTCAAACTGGGGCAGCTGCCTAATTTCTCTCTGCCTTATTTTCTCATCTATCCAGTGAAGCAGATGGCCTTTGTAATCTAAGATTGCTTTCGTCCCCTCAATTATCCGATTCCTATAGGTAGTCTGTATATTTCAAGCTTGCTAATTATTATCTCACGAAACTTGGAGCAGGCTCAATGTCATTTTTTGCAGGTAGAAATAAGTAATCTAAGAATAAAGAGATTTTTTTCATACAAGTATTTTAGCCAGTGGTTTTGTTTCTTGTATTTTTCAACTATGATTTGAATCAAAAGAATCATTTGGACTATTATCAATTGTGCTCCCAAAAGCTACAATATTTCGGAATAATCAACAAAGACGATTCCGCAGAGAAAGCACTTGCTCTCTTTCCTCAGACAGATGGACCCTAGAATCAGCCTGGCCCCTCTTATGATGACTGGTTATGAAATGAGAAACTCATCACTGTCAGGTTGGCTCTCAAAGTGCCAAGCTATGTGCGAAGTGTGTCATTCTTCAGGAGGCTGACACCAGTTTGCCTGCTCGTTCAGTAAAATACCTGCTGCCCTCAAACCTTCAAGGAACAGTAGTGTCTCGGTAGTGCGAGGGGATGTCTGTCCAGTGGGCTTTTTCTTACGGATTTACTTAGTATCTTTGCCTTGCTAGCGGCCTTGGGTGAGGCCCTCTAGGAGCAGAGGGGGGAGGGGAAGGAAGGGAGGGAGAATGAATGAGAACATATTCCTGATGGTTAGAGGGGAGAGAAGAGGTATGAGTGAATGTCTGCCACGAAAAAGCAGTGTCAGGTGAGTTTGATTTCTTTTTTTGTTCTTTTTTTTTTTTAAAGATTTTATTTATTTATTTGAGAGAGAGAGAATGAGAGAGAGCAAGCACATGAGAGGGGGGAGGGTCAGAGGGAGAAGCAGACTCCCTGCTGAGCAGGGAGACCAATGCGGGACTCGATCCCGGGACTCCAGGATCATGACCTGAGCCGAAGGCAGTCGCTTAACCATCTGAGCCACCCAGGCGCCCTGAGTTTGATTTCTGAAGGATATTCCTGTAATGTACCTTGTAATGAAGAGACTGAT